TAATCAAATTGAAATGGCAATTTTACTTTTGATTAAATATGAATACAGGTAGCATTACATCAGTGAGCACGGCCATATTCTATGGCAAGGTAAAGAAGAAAAGGGCAGAACTTGCTCTTCCTGCACATGAAAAAACTGCTTTGTGAAGTTTCATACATAAAAAAGGTGATCTTTCAAGGATTATTGGGGGGGGTGATGTTCATAGTCTTCCTCTCAAGAGATTGCATAATGCTGAATTTTCATGAACTGCAATGTTTTTGGTTCTATGTCAGTGTTTTATGATACATTATATACAGTATTATATTTGTTTTAACTGTATAAATTTGCAGTTTAAATAACATTCATGAAAAATGTAATGAAATTAAAACAAATATAAATCATTATTCAGCAAAAAAATAATGGAATAAATAAAAGCACAAGTTGTTGGAAAGTATGTATAAGGTGTCAATTATAAGTAAGTACTGTGTTAAAGCTTATAATAGCACCAATTGAATCAACACAAACAACATTGCTGAGAGAAAATATTAATTATAAGTAAGCTTACACTTACTCTAAGATAGATCCACTATTGTATGCTGTTGCCGTATGGCAACAAATCATAAAGTACCTTAAAATAATATTTTTTTCCCAAAATTTTTTTTTTAAAAGTTAAACCGTTCTTAGAAAAGAAAAAGATTCAAATATTTTTTTAGAGGTAGAGGGTTCATCATCATGTTTAATTGTCTCATGTCTTCTCTTCCTGTCTTTTTTCTTCTCATCTAGTATTTTTTTCTGGTCCTCTTTTTTGGTCTCATTTGTCTTGTCTCCTCTAGTCTCATTTATTCTCTTCCCTTCATGTCTTGTCTCATGTCTTCTTTTCCTGTCTTGTTTCTTCTCATTTAATGTTTTTGTCTCGTTTTCTTTTTTTGTTTGTCTTTTCTAATCTTGTCTCATTTATTCTCTTTACATCTACACTTGTCTCATGTCCTCTCTTCATGTCTCATTTCTTCTCATCAAGTTTTCTTTTTTTTGGTCTGTTTATTCTTGTCTATTAGTGTCTCTTCTTTTTTCTTCTTGCCTTGTCCATGTTTAATTGTCTCATCTTCTTGTCTCATGTCTTCTCTTCCTGTCTTTTTTCTTCTCATCTAGTATTTTTTTCTGGTCCTCTTTTTTGGTCTCATTTGTCTTGTCTCCTCTAGTCTCATTTATTCTCTTCCCTTCATGTCTTGTCTCATGTCTTCTTTTCCTGTCTTGTTTCTTCTCATTTAATGTTTTTGTCTCGTTTTCTTTTTTTGTTTGTCTTTTCTAATCTTGTCTCATTTATTCTCTTTACATCTACACTTGTCTCATGTCCTCTCTTCATGTCTCATTTCTTCTCATCAAGTTTTCTTTTTTTTGGTCTGTTTATTCTTGTCTATTAGTGTCTCTTCTTTTTTCTTCTTGCCTTGTCTCATCTCTTTTCATCTACTATTTTTTTTGTCTTGTCTTCTTTGTCTCATCTTGTCTCTTCATGTCTTCTCTTCCTGTCTTTTTTCTTCTCATCTAGTATTTCTTTCTGGTCCTCTTTTTTGGTCTCATTTGTCTTGTCTCCTCTAGTCTCATTTATTCTCTTCCCTTCATGTCTTGTCTCATGTCTTCTTTTCCCGTCTTGTTTCTTCTCATTTAATGTTTTTGTCTCGTTTTCTTTTTTTGTTTGTCTTTTCTAATCTTGTCTCATTTATTCTCTTTACATCTACACTTGTCTCATGTCCTCTCTTCATGTCTCATTTCTTCTCATCAAGTCTTCTTTTTTTTAGTCTGGTTATTCTTGTCTATTAGTGTCTCTTCTTTTTTCTTCTTGCCTTGTCTCATCTCTTATTTCATCTAATCTGTTCTTGTTTCATTTCTTGTCTCAATTCACATCATGTCTTCTCTTCCAGTCTCATTTCTTCCCTTCTAGTCTTTTTTGTCTCGTCTTGTCTCTTCTTGTATTGCATTGTCTAATGTCTTCTTTTAAGTCATTCTTTTACCTCGTTTACTTTTCTTCTTGTCTCATTTATTTTGTTTATGTTTGGTGTTGTCTAATGTCTTCTCTTCCTGTCTTGTTTCTTCTCATCTAATGTTTTGTCTTGTCTCTTCTTGTCTCATTTATTCTCTTCACATCCTCTCTTCATCTCACTTCTTCTCATCAAGTCTTTTTTGGTCAGTTTATTCTTGTCTATTAGTAACTCTTCTTTTTTCTTCTTCCTTGTCTCATCTCTTATTTAATCTAGTCTCTTCCTGTTTCATTTCATTTCTCTCTTCCATATTTCTTCTTCTTTAGTTTATTCTCTTCTTGTCTCATTTAATCTTTTCATGTGTGACATGCTCTTCTTGTCTTCTTATCTCTTTTTGTCTCTTCTGTTCTCCTCTTTTCTCTTTTCATACAATCTGTGCTTATGTGTTCTTCTTTAATCAGGAGTCAGTATTGATGCAGTTTTGTGGCAACAAACTGGACAAGAAAGATTTCTTTGGAAAGTCAGACCCTTTCCTGGTCTTTTACCGTAGCAATGAAGATGGAACGTAAGTTTTTATTTTTCGTCCTATTTTCCTATTGAACACAGTTCATAAAATACAGACAATAGAATAAGAGATGTGCAATTTCTTTTTATTTACATCAGTACTTATATTTTAAATGTTACATTTGATGTTGTAAGTCTAATAATATGGTCATGTTTGAGACTGAAATTGGATGTCTCATTTAATATCTTGTCTTCGAGCCTGGTCTTCTATGACACTCTTTGACTCGCAGTAAATGATGCATGTGTGATGTGACCTATTTAAGACCCCTTTCACACTGACTGATTCTCACCTCCCATGTTGTGGTTCCTCTTCTTTGACGTGTCCTGCTTCCTAGATTTACCATCTGTCATAAGACAGAGGTGGTGAAAAACACGTTGGACCCTGTATGGCAGGCCTTCAAGATCCCAGTCAGAGCACTGTGTAATGGAGACTATGACAGGTGGGTCAAATATTAGACCTCTGAGCTTAAAAGACACTGAACAGGATACTGACATGGTGGGAGTGAGAAGTGTATTAGCATTAATTTTTAGTTTATGTTTAGTATAATTCGTTTTTGAAAGAAACTAAGAATTTGAAAGAATTTATTTAAGCAAAAATACACTAAAAACAGTAATACTGTAACATATTATTTCAATTTAAATGAACTGTTTTCTATTTTAATATATTTTAAAATGTACTTTATTCCTGTGTTGCGAAGCTGAATTTTCAACATCATTACTCCAGTCTTTAGTGTCACATGATCTTTCGGAAATCATTCTAATAGTTTTTGAAAGAAACTAAGAATTTGAAAGAATTTATTAAGCAAAAATACACTAAAAACAGTAATACTGTAACATATTATTTCAATTTAAATGAACTGTTTTCTATGTTAATATATTTTAAAATGTACTTTATTCCTGTGTTGCGAAGCTGAATTTTCAGCATCATTACTCCAGTCTTTAGTGTCACATGATCTTTCGGAAATCATTCTAATATGCTAATTTCATTCTAAAATTAAAAAGAACAGCATTTTTTTTAAATATACATATTTTTAAATGCTGATTTCTCACCAATTTCAGAATTTGTTAGATCATTTGCTTTGTTGCACTAAGATGATTAAAAAAAACTAACAAATGATAAAAAAAAATCTTGCTGACCCCAAACTTTAGAGTTTCGGAAATCATTCTAATATGCTAATTTCATTCTAAAATGAAAAAGAACAGCATTTTTTTTAAATATACATATTTTTAAATGCTGATTTCTCACCAATTTCAGAATTTGTTAGATCATTTGCTTTGTTGCACTAAGATGATTAAAAAAAACTAACAAATGATAAAAAAAAATCTTGCTGACCCCAAACTTTAGAGCAGTAGTGTATATGTTTATGTGTCAACCCTGTTACAATTATAACTACCTCTTATTAAAATAATAAATTACTCTACTGAAAAAACAATCAGAACGACTTTATTCCAGATGAATTCAGCATCTTTTTAATTACTTTACGGTATTGTTTTTATGTTTGCCAGTTGGCAATTATTTTAAAATGTCAACCCTGTTACAAAGATTTTTAATAAACAATTCCTAATAGAAAAATAAAGTGTCTGCTAGGGCTTCCCCCTAATAGTCGACTAATCGTTAGTCGACCAGAAGAGGCTTGGTCGACCAAAATTGTATTAGTCGCTTAGAAAAAAAAATCCACATTGGCGAAGTCACGCAGATCGTTAACGGCTGGTCTATGGTATTACAGTACATCGGGCAGGACATCCAAATGCTTGCCTATCATTCATCGACCACAAACATGGCTTATCATCTGAAATATGTAAGTATTAGCAACTTTACCTGGCCGCTCAATCTAATGTTAACCTAGAGAAATGTGCACTAGTAGTGTTGAAGTTAAACAGTAATGCTCACTGCAGGACAGATGGGGGTGCCGGTGCGCTCACTTGCTCTTAAAATACTCCGTAATTTTTGGTCATACAGATAAGAGTAATACATCTTTCAAATCTGTAAAGATTCTACGTTTGTTTGTGTGCACTCGCAATAACAACAAAATGCGCTATTGTAAAATAATGAAAGCAAACATAATACACTTTCTGCTGTCTCGGTCTCTGTGAACTTGAGTGCGAAACTCCGTGTATCTTTGCCTTACGGACATTAAAAATATATCTATAGAGAGTGAAATGTCTACTTTCAACCGAACCAATTCAAATGGAAAACAAATACTCTTCGATTATGTAATCCGTATGGAACATGCATACAGGCACATCCAATACTGCGGAGATGAAGAGTCAGTGTCGCCGATTCATCTCTTAAACCGAAACAAAGAAAGCACTTGTTTATCAGTGAATTATTAAAATGTCAATGCAGCCTTCTTACTGTTTTTCCCTGACACATTCATAATCATTACTTCTGCCGGTGTGCTGTGGCAAGCTTTATGCGTGTGCTTGAGCACTTATTAGGCTATGTAGGCAATTAAAGGCTCATTATAATGATTTAAAAGGTTTATTAATAAACGTGCGATTAATCGACTAATGCTTAAAATGAACGACTACTAGTCGACCAGAAAAACACTTAGTCAAGGGCAGCCCTAGTTTCTGCTAATAATAAATCATTTGTAGTGCCGTTACCTTGACCACAAAACTTAAAATGTCTCATTTAATTGTAAAATTGTCAACCCTGTTTCCAATCTGAAAGCACACACACACACACACACACACACACACACACACATACAAAATATATTAATTTAGCTTGAGATGGCGTCATTCATCAACACTTGAAGACATTCTTTGTCTGATAGAATGTTTAAAGGGGTCATCGGATGCCCATTTTCTACAAATTGATATGATTCTTTAGGGTCTTAATGAAAAGTCTATAACATACTTTGGTTAAAATTTCTCAATGGTAGTGTAAAGCAACATCCTTTTTACCCTGTCAAAAACAGCTCTGTTCACAGCGACCCGTTTCGATGCATGTCCCTTTAAATGCTAATGAGCTTTGCTCTTCCCCCCCTCTCTGCCGTGGGGTGACGAGCCGTTCTCATGAGACTGTTTACTTTAGCCGTGGAACTTGTTAACTATCACATTATTAGGAAAGGGGATTTGCAAAGATTCATAATCCACTGCGTCTTGGACAATGACGACTGCTATGTTCATTATTAAATCCAACAATAAAACAACTTAATCGCTTAGGAGACATTCTAGGAGACAATCAGTCAATCAGTGTTGGCAGATTGGTGACAGCTCACTCAGGGCAGGTCTGTGATAAAACAGCCTGATCTGAAAAAGTGATCATTTGATCATTATACTAAAAAAAAAAACACTGGGTGGATTTTTATCATTATATGTGTACACACACTGCCAACACACGTATGTTCAAACAACATGTAAAAGTGAATTTTGCATCTGATGACCCCTTTAAAATCTTTAGACATTTACTTAATCTTTAAAGGAATTGACTTAACATCAAAATTGACTAACCTAAATAATACTACATGCTTTCAATGACTAAACTTTCTTTTCTTTTTTTTGCAGAGCAATAAAAATTGAGGTGTATGACTGGGACAGAGATGGAGGGTAAGAAATAAACAATCATTCTGTGATACTGAAGATAAGATGCATCAAGATAAGGCATGAGACTGTATGTGTGTGTGTGTGTGTGTCGGTCTCTGTGAACTTGAGTGCGAAACTCCGTGTATCTTTGCCTTACGGACATTAAAAATATATCTATAGAGAGTGAAATGTCTACTTTCAACCGAACCAATTCAAATGGAAAACAAATACTCTTCGATTATGTAATCCGTATGGAACATGCATACAGGCACATCCAATACTGCGGAGATGAAGAGTCAGTGTCGCCGATTCATCTCTTAAACCGAAACAAAGAAAGCACTTGTTTATCAGTGAATTATTAAAATGTCAATGCAGCCTTCTTACTGTTTTTCCCTGACACATTCATAATCATTACTTCTGCCGGTGTGCTGTGGCAAGCTTTATGCGTGTGCTTGAGCACTTATTAGGCTATGTAGGCAATTAAAGGCTCATTATAATGATTTAAAAGGTTTATTAATAAACGTGCGATTAATCGACTAATGCTTAAAATGAACGACTACTAGTCGACCAGAAAAACACTTAGTCAAGGGCAGCCCTAGTTTCTGCTAATAATAAATCATTTGTAGTGCCGTTACCTTGACCACAAAACTTAAAATGTCTCATTTAATTGTAAAATTGTCAACCCTGTTTCCAATCTGAAAGCACACACACACACACACACACACACACACATACAAAATATATTAATTTAGCTTGAGATGGCGTCATTCATCAACACTTGAAGACATTCTTTGTCTGATAGAATGTTTAAAGGGGTCATCGGATGCCCATTTTCTACAAATTGATATGATTCTTTAGGGTCTTAATGAAAAGTCTATAACATACTTTGGTTAAAATTTCTCAATGGTAGTGTAAAGCAACATCCTTTTTACCCTGTCAAAAACAGCTCTGTTCACAGCGACCCGTTTCGATGCATGTCCCTTTAAATGCTAATGAGCTTTGCTCTTCCCCCCCTCTCTGCCGTGGGGTGACGAGCCGTTCTCATGAGACTGTTTACTTTAGCCGTGGAACTTGTTAACTATCACATTATTAGGAAAGGGGATTTGCAAAGATTCATAATCCACTGCGTCTTGGACAATGACGACTGCTATGTTCATTATTAAATCCAACAATAAAACAACTTAATCGCTTAGGAGACATTCTAGGAGACAATCAGTGTTGAAAAAATGGCAGATTGGTGACAGCTCACTCAGGGCAGGTCTGTGATAAAACAGCCTGATCTGAAAAAGTGATCATTATTATTGGGGACTAAAAAAAAAAACACTGGGTGGATTTTTATCATTATATGTGTACACACACTGCCAACACACGTATGTTCAAACAACATGTAAAAGTGAATTTTGCATCTGATGACCCCTTTAAAATCTTTAGACATTTACTTAATCTTTAAAGGAATTGACTTAACATCAAAATTGACTAACCTAAATAATACTACATGCTTTCAATGACTAAACTTTCTTTTCTTTTTTTTGCAGAGCAATAAAAATTGAGGTGTATGACTGGGACAGAGATGGAGGGTAAGAAATAAACAATCATTCTGTGATACTGAAGATAAGATGCATCAAGATAAGGCATGAGACTGTATGTGTGTGTGTGTGTGTGTGTTTTCAGTCATGACTACATCGGCGAGTTCAGCACCAGCTACAGGGAGCTCTCTAAAGGCCACTCTCAGTTTACTGTGTGGGAGGTGAGCCACTCTCATTTTCCTCATGTATTTTTCACACACGTCTGCCTAAAATATCGTAAATGTTAGCTTTTAAAAAAGCTTTTATTGCAGATATTTACATTACTTCACGAGTGTGTTGTTGAGGCCTGAGGAACAGTATTGAAGCTATTTATTATTTTATATGTAGCACTGGAAAATCTGATTTGTCAAACAGTTCAATGAAGCAAAAAAAGGGTTTCCCTAATTAGGTTTAAGCTAAATGTCTAGCTACATGAACATTTACTTATCTTATTTAATATTATATTAAATGTAGCTCATATACAATAACTCTTTTGGGAACTGTGTCTGTGTTTATGGTGTAAATTATGTTTCTGGCCTTTCTGTGACATTTTGTCCCCCATCCCTGTGAAATCTCATCTTTTTTCATCTTTTGTATGCCCTCCACATCACTGAAGCATAAATCAAACCCATAAGGGACAAGAAAACTTATCAAAACCGGCTGCTGCACAAGAACCTTAGATAACAGCGAGAGGTCTAGGAAATGCAGTCAAATGTTCATCTCCACCAAGAGCTTCTGATGATCTAGTTTTTTGACACAATCAATATCTTCTTCACTGTGGTTGAATTTCTTGACACAAAATTCACACATTCTTAGTGTATTCACCATGTTCACCTATCATGGCAAAATATAGTTAGAGCAAGACAAGAAAAGAAATAGAATGAAATGACAAACAAAACATTAAAAAATAAACAGAGATTAAGCAACATTTCAGCAACATCCTGTGTCTGACATTGCTGTATTTCTGCAGGTGCTGAACCCCAAGAAAAAGAAAAAGAAGAAGAAATATCTAAACTCAGGAACCGTGAGTGAATTTTTAACTAGATCCTCCAGTTTAATTAATGAAAAAAAAAGTTCCAAAGAAGACCAAAAGAAAACAATACATGTTTGTTCTAACAAACAAACATCCTTATTGGTAAGACTTCTTATAGAAGGTCCTACATTATATCTTCATAAGCAATGCACAATGCCTTCATAAGCTGTGCATATAAATATTCATATATTTTGATGTAGCTCATCATTGGTCAGCCTTGATGCCGTGACTCTAGAGAGTTACGTCATCACCCTGAGCATGAATATTGATATGACATTTATGATTAAAGTATGCATTGCTTATTGAAAGTGTGATGATGCCCTTTAGGACTCTACATAGGAAGTGTTACCAAACTTTCATGTTGACAGGTCACTCTCCTGTCCTGCTTCATTGATGTCGAGGTTACGTTCCTGGACTACATCAAAGGAGGGTCAGTATTTGTGTGTGTGTGTGTGTGTGTGTGTGTGCACTTTAACAATCCTTATGAACAATGATATTGATAAATGTAATTATTACATAATTACATACCATAGTTTTATACCAGATTAAATCTATAAATATAATAATACCCATAACTGACAATGAAAATGTATAGTTGTGTGTGTGTGTGTGTGTGTGTGTATAACAGTATGCAACGACATCTCTACTGCTAACATAATCCTTGTTCCCCTATGGAGGGAACAGAGACATTGAGGGGTTGCGCTTGGGAGCCCGAAACCTCTGACGTATTCAGAAAAGGGCATTGAAATTGGTGAGTGAAATTTGCACACCTGGCCACACTCAGACATCTGGGTATATAAGGAGCCTGTGTGCTGTTGTGAATGCTATGCATCTAATGATGGAGAACAGCAGTCCAGTGTTCACCACTCAAGGTAAACTAAAAACTGGACCTGAACAGCATCCATTACCACCTCATAGAACGAAAAGACACTGAATGCAAGCTCTACACCCTACCAGTCATCTCGATTCATTTTTGGTATGCAGAACTGTAGATGAAACTGGTGCCATGTGTAGATTATAAAATCTGGGTGTAGCCCAGCCTGCAGTTCTACATATGTCTGCTAATGAGGCACTTTTCACTAAGGCCAAAGAGGCAGTGACACACCTGGTTGAGTGAGCCCTCACTCCCAATACCTCAGACTTGATATGCCTGACAAAGAATTGTTTAGATTGCCTTAAACTCTGTGCAATCAAGATATATGTGAATAAGCATGCACTGGGCACAACAAAGACAAGACTGGGTCTCCGTCATCCAGAGGGAGTGCTTGTCGGGTTACCATTTGATCCCTGAACAGGGTAGTGGGAACCTTCAGCACATAGCCAGGCCACGGTCTAAGGACTATGTGGGAGTCTGCCGGCCCGAACTACAGGCATATTTCATTAACGGAGTGGGCTGGATGATCCCTCACCTTCTTGACAGAGGTGAGCACAGTCAGGAAGGCCATCTTTATAGAAAGGACACTAAGCTCAACTGACTGTAGAGGCTCAAACGGATCTCCTTGCAGGGCCTGTAAGACCACCGAGAGATCCCAAGAAGGGATGAGATTCGCTCTTGGAGGATTTAATCTCCTTGCACTTTTGAGAAATCTAAAAATGATATTGTGCTTTCCTACTGATTTGCCATCCACAATGTCGTCATTTGCTTCTATTGCAGCTACAGACACTTTTTAGGTGAATGGAGACAGGTGCCTGTCCAGGCCCTCTTGGAGGAAAGAAAGCACTGATCCAATACCACATTTTCTTGGATCTTCCCCAGAGCACAAAGCAATGAAGAGGTGCCACTTCAAGGTATATATCTGCCTAGCAGAGGAGGCTCTAGCCTAAGTTGTTGTGTCTGTCACCGCTGGTGATAGCAAACATTTCTACCTGTGCTGTCCATCCAAGGGCTAAATGTATGATGGCACACAGGCATGATGGGAACTTGTTTTGAGCTGCGGCACCATGCCCATCTACTGATTCGATCATGATGCCAGTGCTGAAGCAGCCTCATATACTTCAACCCAACTGACGTTACAGCGGCCAAGGATGACCGATGCCCCGGGAGCTTTTGGAAATATTTGAGAGGAACCACGGTCTTGTATTTGAACTTATACAAGCAGTTCAGCACTGACTGAGAACAGTCTTGTAAGAGATGTGCCATCATGGTGACTGAGTCCAACTCCACAATGAGAAGAGAGATGCTCTGCACAGGAGAGAGTATACTCTTCTCCAAGTTGACCCTCTCGCAATTGGGCTAGGTGCTCCAAGACCATGTCCCTGTGTGCACACAACAACTCTAATGAGTCAGCTAATATTAGCCAGTCTTCAAGCATGCAAATACCTGCTTCCCTCAGTGGGACAAGGGCAGCCTCTGCGACTTTCCAGAAGACACGAGGAGACAGGGACAACCTGAAAGGGAGGACCTTGTACTGATATGCCTGTCTGAGAAGCCAGCATGATGGGCCAACCAAGTGTCCAGACTCCTTCTCTCGGTTTCCCGTCTCAAGACTGCTTCTAAGCCTTTAGTGGGTTCTTAGTAGCCTGTGGATGAGCTGGCAGTGTCTCCTTCCCATGAGAAAGCCATTGTGCACCCGGGTTTTTGGCAGGGCCTGTGCAGCCTTCACAGGGGGCCACCCTCAGCAACAAGCAGGCAGGTGCTGCTGCTTCAGGGGTGGGTCTTGACCTGCTCCGAGACTTTGTTTTTAATAACCTCCATCTGCTTTTTCACAGCCGAGAACTGTTGAGCAAATTCCTCGACAATGTTGTTGATGCAGCTTGTCCAGAGGCATTGTAAGCCTTCGCCACGAGAGAAGAAGTAAACTTACAGGCCCTGGATGGGAGTCAGACAGGACGGCTATGTGTCATGCTCATACACCAAGAACCAATTATCAAGCCTTAAGCACTTAGGGTAGGTTAGAATATTCCAGTCAAGCCCAATGCTCTTGGCAAAAAGCTGCCCAAAGACAAGAGGTCAGCCGAGCCATCAGCATCAGATTGCTCAAGCCCACTCTCCGATGCTCTGAATGAGAAATTGAGCTCACATTGCTCTCAAACCCATATGGAAGAGACGTGTGAGGGGAGGAATGGGAGGTTCATGGGGATTCACCTTGCATCCCCAGACTCACACTCAGAGCACATTGTCAAGGCCTTGTACCTGAGACTAGAATGACTAGGACAGGAAACATCTGAGGTGACTCTCAGTCTTTTGAGTAAGAATGAGAGCTGTGAGTGCAATGTGGCCATGGTCATGATCTCACAAGCAGAACAAGAACCATCCACGAAAGCTGTTTCAGTATGAGTCCGACTCAAAAGCTGAGGACAGCGATTGTGACCATCTGAGGGAGACATACAACAGACCTAGTAGGACACAAATAGAATGCATATTGCCATATACACAATCCTCCATGTCTGTATTTTGAGGTGAGGAGAGTCTGCTGATTGTGTCGTAGAATTCAACGGTGAGAGGTGAGAGGAGACTTCTCCTTTCAAATAACACTGCATCAGCTGCAAAGAACAAAGCTTATTAAGTGAAGCATGCAGGCCCCTTATATACCCGGTTGTCCAGGGAGTGGCCATGCATGCAAATTTCACTTGCCAATTGCATTGGCCTTTTCTGAATGTCAGAGGTGTTTGGGCTCCCAAGAGTGACCCCTAGTTTCAGAACTTTAACACAACATAACAAGTGACCAACAGAAAGAAGAAGAATATGTGAGTGGTGCTTGCTGTGGCACTAGGCGCTTTTCTGGGTGGTTGCTAAGTTTCTAAGGTGTTGCTAGGCAGTTGCTAGAATGTTTTCTGTGGTTGCTAGGGCATAGCTATGTGGTTGCATAGCAGTTGCTAGGGTGTTTTGGGTGGACGCTAGGGCATTGCTATGTGGTTGCTAGGCAGTGGGTGGGGTGGTGGTCTAGATGGCTGCTACGGTATTCTCTGTAATAAATGTTTTAAACACTAGTAGGCTATGCTGTCACGTTACTTCAGTGAAAGAGTTTCTATTACTGTAAAACCATGACATCTAGTTATCTTGCTGGAAATAGATGCATCATTTTGGAAACTCCAGAATTCAGTATCTCACATAAACTGTGACGTCATCCGGGTTTTCCATGCATACGAACATACTTGAGCTCATCGATTGAGACTGGAAACACATTGCTGTGCCTCACCATCCATGAATAATTCCCTCTTCCTTCCCCTCTCCTCCTCGCCACATATTCACATATTCACAGACAGCGCACTGCATTATGATGCCGTAATAAACAGAGCTATAAATAGAGCACTCTATTCTGAGAGACACAAAGACCCCAGGCACATGACCTGGCCTTCAAACAGTCCAGCAAACACTGGAAATATCTGATGAATAATTGGAAGAATCTGCAAAAAGACTACTGTGGAACATTCTTACAGACAGTTAGTGAATCTCTCTAAATATATGCATTCTGTTGAACAGACAGAAAAACCAGGAAGCTGCAGAGAGAATATTAGACAAACGCAGAGCTGCTCTGAGGGAATAACTTCTTCAATTTGTGTCCACAGATTAAATTGAGCTGAGACAGAGTTTCACACAGTCAGCTCACTGGGGATTTGAAGGAAGAGCTTTTTTATACTTTAATAAACAATGTATATTTTATGTTCATAAGCTGACTCACATGTGCTCAAATAATTGTTTTTGCTCTGTTCACTTGCAGCACTCAAATTAATTTCACAGTGGCCATTGATTTTACTGCATCAAACGGTGAGCTTACATCACTGAAACATTGCTCTTCAAAAGAAAAAGCATCATTTACATTTTATGATAATGGCTTTTTTTGTGTTCATGTAAATTTACTAATAGTTATTTATTGTAACTAACCAAGGTGTAAAAAGTACTGAGAAATTGTACTTAAAGTACACATACTATGTAAAAAAAAATTGTACTCAATTAAAAATTAAAAAGTACTACCCCCAAAAAATAAGTGAAAGTATTTTTAAATAACTGCAAAAATTTAATTATATATATATTAAAGTTTATATATTAGTTTAAAATTAATTGAAAAAAAAACATTGATTATTTCTCCATATCAGGATTGAACTATTCAGCTAAAAAGAGCCAATTTAATGTGGTCAAAATACTCTAATATCTAAAGATAATGCATAGACTGATCATTATTTTTGCACAGCATAACTGGGTTTAACAAAGACATCAAATGCCCAAATAATGTCAGTAGTTCATCATGGGTACATGTTACACAAATGGAACCATTTCATTAGAATTGTTACTTATACAGCCTGAAATCTTATTTCTTTACAGAAATATGAAGAAAATATAAAGAAATATGAAGAAATATTTCCATTCATATTTAAATGCTTTTTTGATTCATGCATTTTCTGCTTTATTTACGGCAGGCAACCCTTCCCAGCCTACCTCTCTACACTACATGAGCCCGTATCATCTGAATGCGTATGCACTGGCCCTCAGAGCCGTGGGGGAGATTATTCAGGACTATGACAGTGATAAGCTGTTCCCTGCACTGGGGTTTGGTGCAAAACTGCCACCCGATGGCCACGTGTCTCATGAATTCCCACTGGTGAGGACACTTTCTTTTTAAATTTTACTGTTAAGTAGCTAAACGTAGTTGCTTGGTTTTTATATTCAAACTATTTGTTCTCAAACAGCATGTTTTTGTGTGTTTTATTTATCAGTGAGAGTGTTACATTGACAATCTTACACTGAAAATGCTCAAGTCATTTCAGGATAGAATAAACTACATGTCTTTTGCCCAGATTTTTGCCCTGTCAGCATATCAGGTCCAATCTGTAGATTTATCTACACCCAATAAGCTTTCTTGGTCAACATTCGTATAGTCTGGTTCAGTCTTTGCAAGTTTTCCTGCTGCACCCTTTTAGAGTTTCTGTGCAATCCTCCACCTCCCCCAGCACCACATGTCTAGATTTGCTACAAAGGATCTTACTGTATTTATGCCTTTTTGTGCAGCACCAGCATGCATAGCAAATCTAGTCTGCCAAGACAAAATACATTATCAATGTCTGAACTACCCTGTGAGTTGTCATGAATGAAATACCCTAAATGGTATTCTTATATTAGGGTAAGGAAAACGATTTAAGAAAAACCCAATCAAAATGATCCATTACCCCAGCTATTTGTTTATGTAAATCAGTGCTTTATCAACTTATTTAGTGTATTCCTCTATTTGTATTTACCAATTTTGGAAACGGAATAAGTGAACTTGCACTACAACATTTATATTGCAATGCAAAGGCAATGCAAGAGGAATTAATGATGCTGTGCGACAATGGAATTATAATGAGCTAGTTTTAATCATTACCAGTGTTTTTTGCACATATAAATACACTTTGTGTGTTCTTTGAGGGTCCCCTGAGGTGCTGAACATTTTAGGTGTCTCATTTAACTAATAAACCCAATTGACCGTTTGCAAAAACCTGCCCTCCTTAGTTACTGTTGCTATGTCCGACAAGCCATGCCTCTCTACACGACACACTACGTTCTCACACAGTAAAAAAATGAATTGTGGAGCAAAGTGGAAACTGACAACACGCCGACAGACAAGACAGAGTATGTTACTTCTGGTGTGAATCTCAGCTTTCAAATTTAGTCTTTTTTTTAAGAAATTCAAACAATAAATTCCATTTGTGGCTCTTTAATGTTTCATGACAGATCGCTGTATTGCCTCATTTAAAGCGGCACACATGAACCGATGTCTTTTCATATTTAATTAAAGCACGAAATAAACATGAATGAACATCATAACGTATTTTATTTCAACTGTGAAAAGATGTCAATACACACAATTTTTCAAGTTTACCGAAGTCAATCTGCTCTCCTGTCTGATTTGTTTGTCAGGCAAGATGGCGAATTCTGCGTTATGATTGGTCAGATCACCTGTCAATTAAGCTCTTTGCAAAAAGTCAATTGAATCAAGTGTTTTGTCTAATGCAGAGATTCATTATAGATTCATATTCAGTCCTGGTGCCCCAGGGATATATACTGAAAAACATTGGACTATGGTTTCTAACCTTGGTATGCTGGTATCCCAGTATCCTAGTTTCTGCCAAACCCCAACCATAGACTGTACACATCTGCCTGGGCTACCTGGTATGGCTGTACTCCTGTCACGAATCCGGTCCATGAACTCCCGTCTGCTCGCCACCAGAGGTCACTCTTCCACTACTATAGACTCTTGAACCACACCACTGTTGCACTTCACCCGGACTACAGTTCCCATCATCCACTGCACTGATTACACACACAGTTGATTGCACTCAGCTGTAATCAATCACACCTTCCCTATATAACACTCACTCTGATCCCTTCCCACTGCCGAGTATTGTTTAGCGTATATCACTCACCTAGCAATAGCAATAGCAATAGCGATAGCTACTCTACGGAGCCCGTTAGTTTTCATAGCCTTATCTTAGTCTTGCCTTGTCTGTTTTCTCGTATCCTGATCTTTGCCTGTGCACCTCGGATTCCGCCTCTCGTCTTGCCCTATTCAGATACTGTTTGCCCCTGCCTGGACCTTTGCATTGTACTTGAATTTACCCCTCTAGTCTCGCCCTGCTAATTCTGTTCGCCGATCGTAGACCCACGCTAGCCCTAGGAATATTCTTGTGTCTTGCCCTCTATATACCCGTTGCCATTATCTGACCCTTGCCTGTCTCTAACCATGTCTATGAATAAAGCCTTGCATTTGGATCTGCACGTCTCATGTCTCGTCAGCCCCGTGACAACTCCTCCACCTCTAGCTCTTTTAGATGCACTTCTGAACCTGTCCTCCAACAAACATGGACTAAATGCCAAAAAGCTCCCATTTTAATTTCACACAACTACAACTACACCACTGGTAAACAAATAAGGGCTCTGCAGGGTGACTAACTGATAAATATGGATGCGACCGTTCATAAAGGAGATTGAAAAAGATTGATAGACATTAGCAAATGGAGATTACCCACAGCTGTCTCACATTTCTAAAGAGGACAGAAATTATTTAGTTTATTTTTTTCTCTTTTTTCCCCTCTTCCACACCCACGAAACCGTCACAGAGAATCTATCACATAATCCCATATACAGTGAGACACAGATCCTTCTTATTGGTCCAAACAGATGCACTGCCTGCGGCTGCAGCTGCCCACACAAAGCTAAAACACACACACACTTCTCCTCAGGGCTGAACGCGGGAGACTCCATATGCACTCAGCAGAGCATTAAAGCTTAACTTGAGTGAATAGCACTCTTTAAACTCGCTCTTACTGCAGGAAGCTTCTGGGATGTGAGCTCAGATGGCCAGATCAAACTTTTGAGGGCTGATTCTTGTTGTTGTCATTTTGCTATGACAATGATTTATCACTGTAAACATTTATGATTATACTATCTTCTATTAGTGTAAATCACTACAGCCGTGACCAAAAGTTTTGGCAGTGACATAAATTTTGTGTTTTGCAAGGAATTATATTTATATATTTTTTATATTTATAATTATAACTTTTTTAAATTAATTATGAATATTTAGCTCAGATCTTAGAATTAACTGTAGCAGAATCAATATTTCAATGATTTAATCTGTTCGTCCACCGACAGTATAATCATTTATCAATTCTAGGAAAGATTATTTTCCTGGCCAAGAAAGAATAACCTTCCTACTTCATACAGTACTAGCATTAACTTAGCATGTAGCAAGATCAACATTCAGTTACACTGAATTGTGAGCAGCACACAGAGGCAATCAATTGTGTATATAAGGGATTTAATAAATGAAACTACAGCTAACATACAACAAGACTAAGTAAAACACATATATACAGAATGAAGGAAAGTAAGGAAAGAGAGAGAGAGAGAGGAACAAAGAATGGCAGTATTTAGCATCAATTAACCACAACCTAATGAGAATCATCAGAGAATCAAAGATCACCTTGACAAAAGGGCGCAAACTTAGACATGCGTCTAACTAGTTGGAAACGGTTACTTGCATTGGCTTTGTTTCTGAACAAGCGTCTGGATGTGGTAGACAATGGAGGTTCCTGATGAGTTCTGTAGTGGTGCTTTTCCACTGCATGGTACGGCACGGTACGGTTCACTTTTGGGGGGTTTTCCACTGGGTACAGTACCTGGTATCTGGTACTTTTTTTAGTACCACTACGGTTGGGGTTCCAAATGAACCGTACCGTTACCAAAACGTGACGTGTAAACTCTGCTGATCACAGATTGGCCGGAGAGAATCGTCACTACCTGCGTCACTGAACTTACGACACAGAGACACAACAGAACCAGCACAGATGTAAATCAGCACAGCCAGCGAAGGATCGAACGCAACTGTTTTGAACGAGCGCACCTTTTTTAAGAACCAAAGAATGACTGTTTCGTGGTCTGTTGCGGAAGTACAGACATTCCTCTCGTTGATAGCAGAGGAGAGGATCCAGCGAGAGCTTGATGGGGTGACGCGGAATGAAAAAGTTTTTCACTAGTCGCAGCAGTAGAGGCGCCACAACTATAACGACATGTGAATAATCCCGCCCACTCTAAAGCGGTACTAAACAGTAGTGGAAACGCAAACCGAGCCGAGTCGTACCACACAGTGGAAAAGCACCATAGGAGTGAGCTGGAGGCTTTCGTCGAGTTCTGAAGATCAGAGCGTCCACAGCGAATTGACAGTTACTTGAAGATAAAAGCTGCCGGAAAGTCAGACTCCAGGGTGATGAGTCTTGGAGAGTGTGTCTCAAAGGGTTTGAGCCATGATTGGTTTGGTTAGGGACTTTTAAGGGTCTACCAGTCACACCGATCTTTGGCAGATTGACCAATGTAGAGGTATGAATTTTGAGCGGGAGAGGTTCCTTTGTCTCACGCAACACCTTATTTGCTTGGTTTATGGTGGTCTGGAGGATTTGTCCAATATTAAGTCAAAGTATGGTAAAAAGAGCATGGTGCAAATTATGGTGACATAAAATACACCATTAATCCAGGAATCAGAAGACAGTCATTTTGATACCTGGCATGCCAGGGATTGGGAAACATTAAGGCAGTAATACATTCATATGTCTAGATCCAAGTAATTGGAGCTTCACTACAGTACTACAGAGTTATTACTAAGCTACTATAACCTAGGAACATGCATACAACACAGGAATACACTATATACATTTTGAAACAGTTTGATTGTGGATAAATGGAGGCATTGTCCTTTCCTATGTGTATTGTGGCTTTTGATTCAAAAATTGCTGAAATTATTAAAATAACCCCCTTCAAAAGTTTGGGAACCCTTGGTTCTTAATACTGTGTGTGGTTACCTGGATGATCTACGACTGCTTTTTTTGTTTTGTTTTGTGATGGTTGTTCATGAGTTCCCTGTTTGTTCTGAACAGTTAAGACGATGCATTAAGAGTAGGATGATGTCCAAATTTTTATATTATAAACATACATATACACATATACATATACATATATGTGTGTATACTGTATATACATATATAAACATACACATATACGGTACATATGTGTGTGTATGTATGTACACACATATATATAAACATACTCATTCACATCCTTTTCCTCACTCTCTGAGGCAGAAGTCTCCAAACTCATAATTTCTCATCATCCTAGTACTTGTCCGCTTGATCATATTCCATCTCATCTCCTTCAAGCCATTTCTCCTGCAGTTGTACCTGCACTCACTCAAATCATTAACACATCTCTTCACACTGGTGTTTTTCCCTCAGCATTTAGACAGGCTCGTATAACCCCACTACTTAAGAAACCCACTGTTAACCCATCTCTTTTTGAGAACTACAGACCAGTTTCCCTTCTTCCTTTCATTGTTCCACCTTTATTTGACCCTCTAACTCTAACACTTTCTATTCTATTTTAATTCTACTTTATCTGTATTTATCTTCTTTTTTTATTTCTTTTTTTATACAAAAAAACAACAACAAAAATAACACTAGCTTTCTATTTTTTCTATTCTATCTAGTTGTTTTTCTTTGTGTGTGTATATGTGTGTGTGTATAATATATATATATACACCTTGCTACGTGTACTGCGTTAGGCTAACCGAGACTTCGATCTCATTTGCACTTATATATTGTTGCTCTTTTGTTAGTTTTGACTGCTTTTATTGTCCTAATTTGTAAGTCGCTTTGGATAAAAGCGTCTGCTAAATTACAAAATGTAAATGCAAAAACACTTGAGCAAGCTGTGTTCAACCAAGTCTTTGCCTTTCTCACACAGAACTACCTCCTTGACAGCAACCAGTCTGGTTTCAGAAGTGGACATTCAACCGAGACCGCCTTGCTCTCAGTTGTTGAAGCCCTAAGACTGGGAAGAGGATTCCAAATCTTCTATACTTATCTTGCTGGATCTGTCCACTGCTTTTGACACGGTTAACCACCAGATCCTCCTGTCA